CCACCTCTACATGTAGTCCAATTTCAGCAGGTGCTAATGTTACCCTCAGTAACGTTACGTGGGCAAGCAAAATGCTTCCAGATCAATTATAAACTTGAATTTAACATGGTTGCTTGTTGTCAGAAAGTCTATTCACTGACAATTAAGAACATATTTTCAGAAGGTATTAGGTACGTTTGTTCATACCATTTACTAAGAAGTTGGGATACAGTAATGGTAAGTGACCAAGACAATTTCTGAACTTATTTTTTAAAAATTGCCATGACAGTAATTAGAGTGAGGTTGAATCAACTAAATCCATTTGGGTTTGGGTTCTGTGTTTGGTTCTGAATTAAGCAGGGTTCAGTTTGTACACTGTATTACAAATCAGATTAAATTTCTGGTTTTAACAAAATAATTCTTAATCCTTTAGAAACACCAATAAAAAGGTATATGATAATCCAATTTTCAAACCCCTGTTCTTAAATATATTTTTCCCATTAGCATACAAAAAAAGGGGAAATTATCATGCAAATATTCTGAACAGTGTGATAATATCCGGTAGAACCATTAAACACATGAACTTTTCAGTAATAGTTTTGGCTTTCCTTTTAGTAGGATACAAGTCAGGGTGTAACCTCAGTTCCCCAGCAGTACATTAAATTTCTGGTTTGAAAACCCCCAGAAGCACCACGCCAGAGCTGCTCTATTTCCACTTTAAGTCACATATTAGTGCTATATGATCAGAAGGATGTGAAACACTTGGCAAAGCCTGGTGGGTTGTTACTTCTTCATGAGTTGGCAATGGAATGACTTGTTCAACCTCTAGAGCATTTTTGTCAATGAAAATGTAGTCCAGACAGCCGTGAAAACCCCCAACATAGTTTGTATAAGCAGGTTCTCCACAGGCACTCAGCAGTTTGAAGGGGTGGCTCAGGGCCATACCGCACCCTTCTTCTTCCCCATTGGAGACCCAGTCCTCGTGATCCTCTGCAATGACACCACTGCTGATAAAGCTGTAAGTTCCTGATGATGGGGTGCTATTAAAATCTCCACAGAAGATGACTGGGATATTGGGATACAGGTCACACGCGACGTGCTTGATGTGGGACAAGGCTACAGCAATTTGGATGAGCCGGATGTTCCCACCTAAAAAAAGAAAAAAGTATTATTTCAAATTCTGCACAACAGCATTGGAGCAATTTTTCAAGTAGCTCATTGAAGCATATATCAGTTATAGCTCTGAAACAGCAATCTTACATTTTAGAACAGTTTTCATAAACAAAGAAGCCTTTGAAATTTGTGAATATGAAAGTTTTTGAGAGGCAGACAAAGCTTTAATTTAAATGTGGACGTGAAAGGACTGAACCTTAAACATCCATATTACAGCAGCTTTCCATTTCACAGCAACCATCCTAATAATGTTCCCAAAAGTAAACTTAAAGGAGGAGAATGTCTTTTAAAAGCTTCTGTAGCACAATCTGGTTGCCCTCCTGGCAGTACCCCAATAGAGCCCCTTCAGGTGCATCAGGAGTGGGAAGCCACGAGCACATGCAAAATCATCTCTGCTTTATGATCCGCTCTTTGGGTGAATTGTGTGCAACATCACTTGCCTTGCTTTCACCTGTATTCTGTTGACTTCCAGGCAGATTAGGAAAATAAATACATAAACAGACCTAGGAGCCTGGCTTGATTCATCTAAAGAAGCAAGGCAGGAAACCCTCAGTTCCAGAAGGAAAGGTTACAGCTGCAAAGGAATGGTCGGAAATCTATTCTCCCAAGGAAGGACAAAAACCCTTAAAAACTCAGTTATCCTACACGCTGGAACATGCCAAAATTACCTTTGGGGTGCCAGTAGAGGTGGGTATTTGCTACACAAAGCTTCCTGGAAGGATCAGTTGTAGACTGAAGAACTGAAACCTTCAAGAGAAAAAGCAGTCTTTGATAAGTCTTAAACTGAGAGGTTATATTTTAAAGAAGTTCTATTCACCAATTCTCTCTGCAACAGAACTGGAGCTAAATCTCTGGTTTTAGCAAGCACACTGTAGCATTGCATAGTTGTTACACTGAATGTAAATTCAGAGGTAATTTCAGGTATCACAGAAATCCTGTTAGTCCTACTCAGTCCGTGAGTACAAAACTTACCAGTGCGTGCTTCTGAAACTCCTGACACAGACCTGTGTCTTACACATTTGTACTTGCACAGTGGTTCTGGCATCAGGAAGCTCACAAACATGTCCAACCTTAATTCTCTCCCTACTGTCACTTTCTAAAGTGACAATCAACTTATTTAAAATTGACTTATGATGTCTTAAAACATACGTATTCTGATGTATGAAAGTAATAGAAAACTTGACACCCAATACCACCAAGCAGGAGTCACTACCTGGCCCAGAATCTCAACAGCAGTCTTCATTTTAAAACAAAGAAAATAGTATTGCCTTTTTTTTGCCAAATTTTGGTATTTCCATATATTCAGTTCAGCAAAATCTCAATGTTTTGTTCTCATTTGCTCTATGCATTACCCAGAGAACATACCATAGTTCCAGTGTTTCAGATTGCTAATCCCTCACCTCTCTTCTCCTGTGGTTTGACCCTTAACAAACCTGGCCTGGCTGTACCTGCCTAGAGACAGAGAATAAAGAGGAAAGAAAGGAAGAAGGCCTGTCCAAGGTGGTACCTGCAGCACAGACGACCTCTGCAGCACCTTCTCCTGCACCAGGGGGTACTTGGCCAGCTGATCGCACAGCTCCTTGTGCAGTGGCTCCGAGACCAGCGCTTCGCTGAACGCGATGTCGTGCTGGCTGAGGAGGCTGAACTTGTCCCTGCGATAGAAGGTGGCCAGCCCTTCGTGCTGCTTCTCCTTAATCTTGAACAGCCCTTCGAGTCCAAAAGCATCTAGGGCCGGGACCAAGCTGTCCACGAAGACAGACTTATCCACCTCTTGCAGGCAGATGAGGTCAGCGCTGTATCCCGCCAGCTCCTTCTTGAGCAGGTTCTGGCGGTAGTCGATCTCCAGGGCGTAGGGAGCGCAGTAGGGGTAGAGCACGGTGCGGGAGAACTCCGTCTGGGCGTAGGTGTCGGCCAGGATGTTGTAGGACACGGCGCGGACCGAGCCCTGCCCGCAGACCTTCTTGGTGTAGAGGTGCCGGTTGTCGAAGGTGCAGGCGCCGGGCCCGGCCTCCACGGGGCCGCTGCTCTCCACCTCCCGGGCGGGCCCATAGCGCTGCTCCCCGTCCCCGGGCGTGCAGCGCAGCTTCAGCCGCAGCCCCACCAGCGCGTTGGACGGCGTGAACACTCGCTCGCCCTCGGCCGCCTCCACCCAGGCCTCGCCCGGCGCGTCCCCGCCGCCCGCGGGGCGCTGCTCGCGGTACCAGCGGAACAGGCAGTGCTGCGGGGCCGCGAACTCGGCGCTCACCTTGGGGCACACGGGGAAGCCGGCGAGCAGCGAGCGCGGCAGGCGCAGCTCGGTGAGGGCGGGCGGGTTGCGCTCCACGCGGTACCGCGCGGCTCCGATGTGCAGCACGGCCCCGTCCTGCCAAGCGGCCGCGTTCGGCACCTCCTCGGACACGGCCGCGCCGTCGCGGGAGAACAACCGCACGGCCGGCGTCGCCGCCGCCGCCGCCGCCTCCCCGCCGTCCGCGCCCTCCTCCGCCCGCGCCTTCTTGCTCTTCTTGCCCGCCTTGCCGTGGCCCTTGGCGGCGTTGGTGGCGATCCGCGCCAGCGCCCGCCCCAGCGGCTCCGCCTGGTCGCGCTGCATGTGCCGGGCGCTGCCGTCGGGCAGCACGAACCGCAGGCTCAGCTTGGGCTCGGACGGCACGCAGCGCACCACGGCGCGCTCCATGGCGGCGGCTCGGCCACCGCCGCCGCCGGGCGGGGGCACGGCGGGGGAGCCGCGGAGGCTCCGGAGGGCGGAGCGGAGCCGGCGCCACATGGACCCGGCAGCGCTGCGGCTTCCGCGGGGCGCGGCCGGAACCGCCGCGAGGGGGCCGGGCCGCACCGTCACGGCGCGCGCCGCGGGGCGGGGCCAGGCGGGAGGGGCGGGCCGTGAGGGCGGTGCTGCCTCCTGAGGCCACGAGCGCGGTCCGGCCCAGCCGTGCCCGATCAGGGGTGCCCGATCAGGGGTGACGGCCCAGCCGTGCCCGCTCGCTCTGTGGTCTCGCGCCGCCCTCCCCACCGTTAACCCGCCGGCACAGGGTGAGGGAGGCCCCCGCAGAACCGCCGGGTTCCGTTCCCTCAGCAGCGCAGTCCCCTTCCCTTCACGGCCAACAGGTGCCCGAGGCGGGGGCGACTCTCCCGCTTAACTCCACAGTGCAAACTTATCAATCCTTTAGCATCAAGGTTTTGGATTTGTTTCCTGTTTGCGAGGACACATTTCGTGTCTGGTTTGACACCTCAAGCTGAATAGCCCTGGGCTGTGAAATCCCATGCTGGGAGGGTGCCAAATTGGGGGTTTAAAGCCTCTTTGTTAAATATGGGCAAGTGGGTAGCAAATTTATAGTTGTACAAAAAGCAGAAGCTTAGCAACAGCCACCTGATGCCTGAGGGTATTATAATTATACTTCCCCAGGCATTCGTGCTGTGATCTGGAACACGGAGGTTTTTATCTGCGTGGTGCAGGCAGGGACCGGGGCACAGAGACTCGCTGACCCTCTCGGTCTGTGTCCTGCACACCGGAATAGCCAAGGTAAGGCTTTCCCAAGTCTCTGCTTCTAATTTTTTTTTTTTTTTTTTTTTTTTTTTAAATCACTAGAGGGATTGATATCCTCGGCAAGGGAGAGCCCCGCCCGGGCCGGCCCTGCCGCCCGCCCTCAGCTCCGGGACAACGGCGCTGTTGTCTCGAGCCGGGGCTGAGGGAGAGCTGAGGGCGGCGGGGAACCCTCCGTGAGGCAGGGACAGCTTTGTGTCCACCAACCCCCGTTTTAGTGCTTTTCTAAGGCATACTGCTGATTTAGGAGGTAGCTTTGGCTTTCTGCTCCCTTGCTGAACTGCGGTTCTGAGTTTGTGCATCGTGTTTCCGTGGGAACCGGACTGTCAATCTTTCGGGATAGCCATACTCAGCCGCTTAAACCGCTGTAGAAGGGTGGTCTTTTAGCTGAACCCCACCTCAGTCGTACAACAAGGTTTGCTTTTTTATCTTTATTTCCTTTTATATATATATATTTTATACAAGGCGATTATCAAACTTTAGGTTCCAACTACCTTTAACCTTGTAAATCCCATTATCTGCTTCACACAGGCCCCCCCCGCCCCTCACCCCCAGATTAGGATTCTTATTTCAACCCCGCACCTGTCTCCACTTTTCTGTTGCACAGCCCAGCTACCCACTGGTCTTAACCAAAATTCCCACCTTCTTAGCTTGAATCCCATATCCCCCCTCAGAACAGAAAATGTGCCTACATCAGGCAGGGTGAGCCTGGGGCAGTCTGATGGGGGCTTAACTGGCCCCTTTCCTGGTGTCTTCTTTGTGCTGTACAGCTGATAAATAAGTAATGTCAGAGATTTGTACTAGAAATTTTCAATTTTATGCAATGTACTAATCTGGAGTTAATAAACTGTGACATGTTTTTCTAGTATCTCAGGCTTTTTTGCGTACTGCTGAACTTTGCCATTTTAGACTATACACCACTATTCTGTTTTCTGAGGGCTCAGCTGTCATACACAGACTATGGAAATCCCTGAGTTGACGCAATTTAATATCTCATGTCCATTCAACCTGATATATGCATCTGTTAAACCACTTTCTGGACAGGATTGTACTGTAGAATCTTGGTTGTGTTATGGTTTTAGATGGAGCACTCAGATGAAGAACCTCCCAAGAAACGGACTTTGAGAACTTTGTTTCGTCCAACTGTTTTACCTTCGTCAGTCACAACTGATCTGTCACCATCACAGAAAAAACTGTTGACATACCGAAGAAGCCATGAGCAGCAAGAGATGATTGATCAGATACTGTGAGTTTCATGTAATTCAAGACATTGAAATTCAAAAGAAAGAGACATTGCACATTTGACATCTGACAAATAATTATGGTGTTTGTTTAACATAGTTACAGTGAGATTTAGTGATCAAAGGTCATCAAACCCCAGGTTGCATTGATTAAAATATTAACATTATTTTTAATATGTTCTTTGTAGTTTATCTGCATTTCTGATTCTATGTTTTACTTTAGAATTGATCGAGCTCTTAAAGTCTATGACAAAACCGTGGAAGAAACATCCCACAGAGATCCTGAACCTCCTATTCCAGAACTGCCTTCCATTGTGAGAAAGTGTTTCTTTAATATTTTAAGTGTCACCTATTTAGTACTTTTTTATTGGGGCACTTATTTTACTTCTCAGAATTTATGTAAAGATAGTAATCTCGATCCTTAGTAGTTCATAAACATATTTATATTCTCAGGTAATACCATTGAAATGATACTTACATACCTACAGAATAAAGTCTCTGTTTAAGAATAATATTTCTTATATTTTATATTTTGGATGTTTTTGTTTGTTTGTATGTTCTGAATACATAACAATTTTCTGTTTCTTTTTTATACAGGTGAACAGTGAGGAAGACCAACGAAGAGTGAGTTAAATTCTTTTGTCTGCTTTTTTTGGAGGAGGAGAGTGAATGATCTCTATTCAGAGGGTAGAGTATGTTACATGGAATCAAGGGTGATTAAACAGGAAAAAGTAGTCTTGGTGGGGAAAAATGGAATGGGAGCAAAATAGGAGTCTTGTCTTGTGGTCCAGTAGAAGAAAAGTATTTTTCTGTTACAGAAAGCATGTCTATCAGTAGTTAATTTAGCCTTAGTTAAAGGTCATTAGTTAGGACAAAAATCTAACAGGCTTCAGGACTATTTAAGTTGAGGTCAGAGATTGTACCTTAGCCTGTTCAAAAAGTAGTCTTTGACATCAGTCTCCTGATTTGAAGAACGGGCACTAATCCTGAAATTTGTGCATAGCTTTTAAAGTAAAACTTAATCTCTGAGAGCAACTGGAAACCCAAATCAGTATTGAAATATTTATATTATGTAGCTTAAGGTAGCACCAATTTTTCCTAGCTTGTGTTAGGTAAACTCATTCTGTAGATGTAGAGATTCAGATCCCTTTTTTTTATATATAACAAAGCTGTCAATCAGAAATACCTATTTCTTTGGCCAAGACCCACTCCCCTTGTGGGGGATGTTTGTCCCCACTTTTTTGACAGATAAATGTTTGTCTGAAGAACAATAACCTTAACCTTGAACTGCTTTATTGTCAGCCATAAA